CATCTCTGGAGTGTCTCAGCTTATACAATCAGGCCCTAACAAGTAGTGGCCCAGGGACAATCTCGGCCTTTGAATCACTAATTAATAGTGTTCAAAGGAAGCTAGGAGCCATCCATAGGCCGAGTGGTCCATATCATTCAAGAAATAATTCTTGGTTTGACAAAGAGTGTCTGATGCTTAGGAACCAGATTAATCTGGTTTACCTGCTCTATCATAATCAAGGGGATAAATGCCCACCAGAGGACTAATATCGCTTGAAGCGGGAGTATATAGGACTAATTGCTAAGAAAAAGAAAGCTAGAGAGAGAGAGAAGTGGGATCTACTTCTCTCCATCCAGCAGAAGAACACTCGATTATTTTGGCAAATTGTTGCCAGCTCCTTGCCGGGTCATCAAGAACTCCCTCTCTGCTGTATTTCCAACAGAGCTTGGGAAAACCATTTCTTGGCAATTTTCCAGGCGTCAACAAGTTCGACCATGCTTGGGCCATAGCTGCCTCCTGCAGTTCCTGACTGGCAACCCATGACTCATGCTGAGATTACTGAGCTTATCTCCAAACTCAAGTCAGGCAAAGTCCCTGGCCCTGATGCTATACCCCCTGATCTGCTAAAATCCAATCCCGAGTGGTGGATCCCTCTCTTAGCAAGACTCTTCATGCATATCAATACCTCTGGCAGGATCCCTACCTCCTGGAGCTTAGCAATTATTGTTTCAGTTTTTAAATGAGGAAATAGGAACAATCCAGCTGACTATCGCCCCATAAGCCTGCTCTCCATCATTGGAAAATTGTATGCTAAATATCTCCAATGTAGACTCCTCATTTGGGCTGAGGAGTTCAATATTATTGGTGCTGAACAGATTGGGTTTAAAGCGGGCTGTGCCACACTGGACCACTGCTTTGTCTTAGCGCACCTGGTCTATAAATATAATACCATACCAGGTAGCAAACTTTTATCGACCTAAAGTCAGCGTTTGACTCAGTCCCTACGGGACTGTTGTGGTCAAAACTGCTCAAAAGTTCTATCGATAGGCATCTTCTGTTCCTAATTAGATCCTTGTACAACCAGACCTCTAGTCAGGTCAGGTGTGGTTTGCAGGGAGAACTTTCTAATCCTATCCCGATTAAGAATGGAGTAAGGCAGGGTTGTGTTCTGGCTCCTCTTTTGTTTAATTTATTCTTATCTGACTTGCCTTTCACATTGGACGTATTGAGTCCCATACCCCAAAGCTGTCAACTACGAAGATCCCGCTTCTCCTTTATGCTGATGATGAGGCCTTCCTTTCATTGTCAAGGCCAAGTCTGAAAAGATTACTTTCTGCATTTGGGTCTTACTGTGCTGAGAACCACTTCTCCATTAATTATGACAAATCCAAAGTATTGGTGTTCTCTGGAGTCCGGAAATTGTATAACTGGGCTATCAATGGTAATGCTGTTAAGCAGCTTTTCCATTTTAAGTATTTAGGTATTCAATTTCAGAACACCGTGCTTGGACTAGACATCAAACCCAGGTACTGAATTCGGCCTCCTGTAGTCACCAGCAGATTTTAAGATTTTTTTTATACCCAAGGAGGCCAGTTTATTCCTTCTGCTCTGCATATTTATAAAGCCAAAATTTTGGCACAAACTCTTTACGGAATTCCCATATGGATATGGGGCTTCAAGGATTGTATTGAAAGAACCCAGGCTGTCTTTCTTAAAACTTCTGGGTCTTCCTCCTTGTGTTGGTTTTGCTCTGATGTACCTGGAACTGGGCACTTGATCAGTAGAATGTATGGCGTGGATTAACACCTTTAAATGGTGGTTTCGGGTGCTCTTTTCTGGCAGTTCCTGGTAGCTACCTCTACCTGGAATTTGCTGACTCTTACATTTCTCATTGGGAGAAGGAGCTGATGAAGAAATTACACCTGCTAGGTTTTACGGGGATGCCCTGGGAGATTATAGCCTTAAGGACGCCCAATTTAGGGTAGTCCAACGGCTTGTGGACATTGACTTGCAATATCTACAAGCCAGAGCTAACAAAACTTGCTCCCCTCTGATCTTCAGCCAATTAAATAAGTATGGACTGAGAATGGCTTCCTATTTTTACATTCTAACCATTCCCAAGCATAAAAGGGCTTTCTTCCTAGCTCGCTTTAATGTCTTGCCCTCAGCACTACTGGATGGACGATTTAAGAGGCTTCCGATTAACGAGCGGCTATGCCCCTGTGACAGAGCTGAGGCTGAAACTGTGGAGCATGTCCTTTTATATTGCCCTATGTATAATGCAGGCAGATCTAAGTTACTGTCTCTCCTTGAAACAGACCCTTCTAGACCCAATGTTAGTAATTTGTTCTTATATTGTCTAGGGGATGGCTCCTCATACATCACTTCTCAGGTTTCCAAAGATTTTTTAAGAGCTGTAACCATCAGAGGAGAACGCTGTAATTCCCCTTAGTCAAGTTTTTGGTGACCAATTGTTCATGATTAATTTTCCCATGTTCTTCTTTTGTTGTACTTGTGTTTTGGTCTGTGACCGCAAATAAAGTATTATTATTATATATTGCCAACCCAACTGTTAGGTGATTATCATTCCTAACATTCTCCCCTTTGGGTAGGACAATATATAAAACCTTACAGTTTAAGTTCACATTCCTCACAGCAAGCTTTATGTTTTACAGTGCCTTGTGCCTATTCTTCCTTTTTAGTGGCTATTGATGGTTTAACTTTCTCATCATTAGGGACTACTTGGGTGTCGATAATAACATCATTGTTGGATGCCACCCAACGTGCTCAAGAAATTTAGCACTAGTGCTACAGTAAACATTAGCTGTACCTGGAGCCCAGAATCCAAACGATCTATGGTTGGCCTCATAACCTACAAAAAATAATTTCCTAGCTCTATGTTGCCCTTTCAGTCTTTCTTGTGAGGGAATATGCACCCATGCTGGAGCTCCAAATGTGTGTAGATAACTTAAATTTGGTTTTCTGCCATGCCAACAAGTGAATGGCAATTCACCAGTTGTTGTGTTCACCACATTATTTAAAACATGGTTGGTACACATTATGGCTTCACCCCACAGTGTTTCAGGCAAATCTGAATCGGATAACATAGTGTGAGCCATGGCTTGTAATGTTTGCCCCCTTCATTCTAAAAACAAGTTATGTTGTGGTCTGTAAGGGGCAGAACATTTATGCTTGACACCAGCCAATTTCAACATTGTTTGGAATCTAGTGTAATAAACTCAGTCCCATTAACTGTAACTAAGCTAATTACCCTATATCTCATTTTCCTTTCAGCAAGTCTTAGCCAGTTAAAGAAATGTTGGAACATTTCTGTTTTGTTTTTCATTAAATATTAGAATATTAGAATAAAATAAATAAGTGATCACTAACCAATACTATAATCCTAGAACCATAGCCAGATAACCTGATAATCACCATCAAAATTACAATTCATGGATGTTATGGTTTTTTTATATTTGTCCATATATGTACAAGTTCTTGTTTCTACTTTTCTGTGAGCTTCCTCTGGATTTATTCCAGAAAAAGAAGAAAAGAGTAGTAAAATTTCAAAAGAAAGGAATTTTTCATTTCCAGACTGGAATAAGGTTGAATGTGGGTATGAATAGCTAAGCTGATCAATGTAATAACCTTCTTAATCTCTGTGTCCACTAGAGCTGCTTTGGTCTTCATTCACTTGTTTGTCGGTGTCATTAAGTGGTTACCCATAAGCCCCATCTTACCGTGTGTGCTAATAGAATATTACAGTTTTGAACTAACACAGTTAGGACTATAATTCAGATTTCATAGCTTTGAATACTGCTAGGCTGGCTGTGCTAAATATAGGCATAGCACTGGTCCAAACATAGGCATATATAGGGGATGGCAATATTATTAGTGATCCTGTCTCTGCAAAAGCTTTTTTCTGTGTCCTATCTATGTAGCAAAACATATATCTCTTGTATTCCAGCTTGCTTCCAGACAATTTATAACTTTACTAATGTAAAGAATTGGCAGCAAACCTCAAATCAGACACAACTGAGTCCTGCATAGAAGAATCCAAACTCCTACTACTACTACTGAAATTTTTATAGAAAATTTCAGATAAATTAAAATATTGCAGGTTCAGAAAAGGACAGTAGTTTAAACAATCATATCATAAAGCAAGCATACCATTTCTTTGTACTGAACTGGCTTAACATGATGTGTGAATATGACCAAAAGCTAAATTGGTCCCCACTGAAATATGTACATTTTGTCATTCAGCGGAAGTAAATTGCTGACAGCATTTTAAATAATGTCTCCTTTGTACAGTATATATGAGCATTATTATACACGGGATATAAAACAACAACATTCTAAGCCTTTACTACCATTTGATGGTTTTTCAGAATTTTGCAGCCTTGCCCTATTAAGTTTATTCTAAAATGACATTTGCTCTTTTAAACATTATTAAGATATTGCAGTATCAAGAACTCACTGTTTCTGCAAGGGTAAAGATAGTTCAACTGACCCTATTTCCCTCAATTGATTCCACTGTTCTATTTCTTTATCCATCCTTCTCTGGAAAATAGATGTATGGACTTGTGCCCAAAAGATGGCTTACAGATATTTAAACAAATACAACCAAAACAATTCTAGTACTATTTTTCTGTGAAGAATAAATTTAATAAATTACTGATGTAGTGAAAATTACTCACACTTATTGGTGACAATGTTAGAATTCTCAAATCTATGGTTCCAGAATTTCAGAAAAACATTTCTGTATCATACCAATATTGGAAATAATAATTCCTTTGAGGAAAAAACAAATACAAGCTATAAGCTAGTAACAATAACAGCATGATTTTAAAAGTAGCCTCTTTATATATGGTGAGCGTTTCATGTGCCATGTGGCTAATAAAATCTGTACAGAAAGACTGCTGAAGATATTATTTTTCATGGTAATTCTAAATAGTATGCCATGATTTTTAAATATTGAATATGTATTATTTTTATATGAAAACTGTTTCTTTAAAAAGGTATATGAAAATGGCAAAGATACTGGAGAAACACTTGTTCATATCAGTAGAAAAGAAATGGAAAGCAATTATGGAGATCAGCCTGGTATCATACTGGAGAAGGTAGGATATTTATTTCTAACTATAAGCAATTTTTAATGTATGAATTATTTTATAGTATCCAACTGTATCCTTATAGTTATTCTTTGTATAAGTATGTTATCTGATTCAAATTCTTATATTCTCTGCATTTGGTTATACCAGTTCACTAATATTAATTTAATAACTGACATTTGAGCTATACACAATATACTGCAAACATCTTGCCTCCATTGTGAGCAGCTTGTGCAGTTCTTTGTGGATAAAATCATTTGAATTTGTGTTGGGCTTAAGGCCATTTGGGGCAATGCCATCTCTGAGGTATCCAACCTACCATCTAATAACATCTGTCTGAGTCAGTTTCATTTCCTCTTGCTGAAAAAAATGTATCAAATTCTTGAATTTGTTCATCTCATATTTTACCTACTAGATTTCTTACCTGCTTGACTTACAATGCTACCAGTGACTTTTTAAGTCCATTTAGAGTGAACTTAAAATATATCTCTTTACCAAAATCTTTTTGGTTTAGAATTTTTAATGCTACTGGAGTTTTAATAGCTAGATTGACTGTTAAGTGCTTCTGTTTGGAGAGTATGTAAAGCCATAACATTGGACTGAATTGCATATATATTTTAAATAGCTACCTGAATTAATCTGATATGTCTATCATTATTCTTATTCTCAAGATGGTTCATTGCTTTGAATGAATTTCCTCATTACAGTGATAGCTCGATCCTGTTTAGCTATCACAACATACATAAGATAAATATTTTTAATTTATTTATTGTATAATAGAATGCTATAGATTAATGTATATATACAAACTTTAAATTCAAATGATTGCTTAGCTATTCACTGGGTGATCTTAAGAAATCAGTTTATCTCAAATGCTTGCTGGGAAGATAACAGGTTGGGTTTTTTTGCTTTTAAATGAGTAAGCATCAATTCTTGCAAGTAAAGCTGGTTGTACTGTGGGAATTTTCTCTATTCCCACTCCTTCACCTGTACTCTCCTCAAAATAACCTTAGTGGACATACATGGGACTGCAGTTGATGGAGGATTAACTCTACTTTGTTTCAACTGATAAAATTTGTTTCATTTGCAAGTGTTTTATTGAATCACATAATAAATCAAGTCTATTATTGATATGCACAATTCAAGTTTTCACAGCATTTCACATTCATTACTCTGTGGTCAGATATACCCCTTTATGTCTTTTGGAAAAATGGTGGAGATAGATCTCTTCAGGGCACATTGGATAAGGTATTCTTAATGGTAGCAGTAGGTTGGCTGTAGTAGTTTTTTTTAATTAACAGCGCTTAATGGTTTAACTGATTTTAACTTTATTTATAGAAAGATACCTAAACATGTTAGAGGTTAACAAATTAATGTAAATACATACTTTGTTAAATAGTAGATAGTTTAGAGGGATCAATCTGGAATCATAGTATTTAGTGTCTAGAATGATAAAATCCTGATAATATTGTCTGCCAAATTTTCCTTTATTGATATAATACATGAAGTGTAAAGCAGGAGATTTATAATTACACTAAGACATTGCCTGTCATTTTACATAAAAAATATAACCGTAGTTAATGCTATCAACATATTTCCAAGAAATGAAATAGTACTAGATGGCAATTCATGTGTTTATTGTATTTATTATGTTTAAATATAGTGTAATGTTCCTTCAAGAGAATCAAGGGAGCATAGAATATTGTTTTCTTCCAAATCCAGTGTTTTATCTACTATGGGATTTCACTAGGAATAGATTAGAGTGTTATTCTTCTATCTAAATCAGCAGTGGAATGAATGCCTGTATTAAAGGAGGTGTCATTAAGATTTTTATGTCAAATCAAAACACTAACCTCCTCTTCAAAGTAATCTGAAAATTAAATATAAAAGTTGTACTTACATGGAAAAAAAACTGGTTTGTATTTTTTGCTCTTGTATCATTTATATCAATACCTATATGATATCAGTAGATATGTATGAATCTTTGTATTCTAACAAAATAAATAGTTTATTTTTAAAATTCACAGAAAAATCTAATACAACAGACAGAATTTGTAAAAATAATTCCTCAATCTTCAATTCCCACAATTCTGTGAGTTAGATGAAGCTAAAAAATAATGCCTCACCCAGAATTAGCCTATTAGCTTTCAGAATATGCTAATGGGAGTAATATCACTAATTTGTTTTGATTAGCGTATTTCCCTAACTGCTATGGACAGCTCCGGTTACTGAAAGATTTCATTTTGCATTAATGCAGTTAAAACTACAGGAAATATTACTGCATTGCTTTTTGTCATGTTTATATTTCTGTAATACTGGGGTACCATCTCTGTTGTAAATACTGTCACAATAAGGTCATGGATATGAGGCCTTTGTGATATGCTCAGTTGCAGAAGGTGGCAAAGGAGAAGGGAAGATGAACTAGTATGTTAGAGCCTGGTAAGCAGAGAAGGGTGACAAATAGGAGGAGAGAGTAGAACAAAGTGCCTCTGTTTAGAGCTATTATTACAATGCCATGAAATGGCAAATTGACCACAGTATAGGCACTCTAGTAACATGACGGATCTCTATCAACAATTCTTTAAAAAGGAAATGAAATTTTGAACAGCTATACCAACTAAAATTAGAGCTGTAAACCGCATCATAAATAAACCATTATGTTTTGATGTTCAATTGAATTATCTTGCTTAGTCCTATTTTCTTTGGGTCGCAGTACAGGGTTTGAATAGTTTCTGTCATGTCTCAATAATATTTCCTTAAGAGTCCTGAAATTGTTAAATGAGTCCTGCTTTATTCTTGTTCATACATTGATCATCTAACGCCTGGCAGGAGAGTGCAGGAAAGCAGTCCTTGTCAAACCTCAACAAGCTCAGTTAAAAAGACTAACAAAATGTAACTCCAAATGTGGACTGGGAAAACATAACCTTTATCCAGAGCTGTTACTGTTAGTAGATGCTAACTGTTCTGTAGAACTGTCACATCTGCTTTCAGTCTGTGTGCCAAAGAGGTCAGAGCTCAACCATAATCCTGTTGCACCCCCTGCTGGTTAAAAGCCTGTGCTCATTTTGTTACTTTACACTGAGATAAACATTGCAGGGATTTCACACTTCTTTTAACATTCTACAGGAATTTAATTATCGTTTGGACATTGCTGGTTACAGAATACAAACAATTTAATACAGATGTTTTCATTTTGTGTTTTATCTTCCATGGCTAGGTACGGCACATGATTCATCAGAGGCTACAGCTTTCAGCAGATTTCAAACCATCAGGCCTTAGTCATTTTCCTACGCATCTGTTCGATGAGACTGGGCAAGAAATTAAAAACCCTCTTTTACTGCAGAATGAGCAAAAAATTTGGGTTTCTTATGGCGAAGATTACAGGTAGGAGCATGGAGTTTAGCGTTATGACTGTCAGCAATGTTGATGTTATCAAATTGCTATAAAAGGAAGTTGAATAGCTTCCAAAAAAAAAAAAATCCTTTTATTTTATTGTAAATTCCAGTGAAATTTCAGAGGTCTTGTTTTAGGCAGTCTTTTTGAGGAATATGACATCTCTGTCTCTGACTTACTATCTTAATGCCTTGTCATCGTTCTTGATGTCTGCCTGTCAGCACAGCAAGAGGGATTTTTTCATGTCTGAATAGTCACCTTAATGATAGCAGATGGAAACACCACGGGGGTCCAAGCCCATCACCCTGTCATTGTCACCGGCTGCCCTGACCTGTTTCCACTCCTCTGTTTTTTTTCCCTTTGGTCCCTTTTTAAAGGAGAAATGGGTGGTAATTGAAAAGGAACTTAAGCAAGATTTATGAAGCTGTAGACAACACAATTCCCTGTTATCGCTCTATGTTTTCAAAAATAAAGTCTTAACCTTTCAAGTACCAGTGAGAGAAGAAAAATAAATAAATTGGTAAAACTCGTAAAGTCTGAATGACTGAATCTAAAAATAGAAGAGAGCTAGGCTGTATAATAGTTCGTTTACAATACTTCAAGAAATGTGGTTATAGTCATGGAATCATTACTATTTCCTCAGATGATAATCCATGCATTTCAGAATTACTCTGATCCCAGCCTGGTTTGACTGAGATAAATTATTGAACAAAAGAGATATCAAGGAAACTTTCTTGTTTATCTTAGTGTTATGAGTGTATTCATAAAATACTTTTTTGGCTGTAAATATGGAAAACTTTTATAGTTCTTATATGATAGTCACCATGATTATATTTTTGTAAAAAAATGTTTAATCAATTTATACACAGATTCCTATCTTTTGGATATTGCTGGTTACAGAATACAATCTACATTTCCTAATTTTATATACAGATTGCCATTATATATAGATTATATATAAATTGCCATTTAATATAAAACACCATCAGTATGCTTTCATTAAACTTTCTGTTTTGTTAGTGTTATAAATATTTTCATAAGATACTTTTTCAGCTGTAATTATGGGACATTTTTGTAGTTCTTATATGATAGGTAAATTATTATTTTATATGTATGTAAAATTATGTAATCAATTTATATATAAATTCCCAAATATTTTGCCATTTACTATAAAAATACATCTGTAGGCTTTCATAAAAACTTAATTTTCTAGAAGTGTTTTTTTACACTTTTATTTGTAAATATTTTATTTGTAAATAAAAACAATTTTATAGGCAGTTATAGAAATATTATGTTGCCTCATATAAGTGTTTTCTTTCATTAAAAAAAATCAATATGCAGTTCTCTACATTTTTATTAAATTTTAAGTTCCATGATATTCAAGGAGTCTAGGTGAGCACAGGTGATGGAATACAAACAATTTAGTACACAAGTGGAGTAGAATTATATTTATGACTAAAATTAAAATAAAATGCTATAATATATATAACATTTAAAATAAAATGTTAAATATCTAATAGTAGGTACATAAATATTCTACAGCTACTTCCCATTTTATCTTATTTCAGAACAGAAAGCCAATTAACTAAATACCTTAAAATGTAATCATTTTATAAATAAACACATCTCTCTGTAATATACCAACAACATTTATCTTCTGTAGAAACCAGGCTTGTTTTGCTTTCGATAATGGTCTTGTTATGGAACAAGACCGATGTTATGATTGGATTCTTCCTGCATACCTTGACTGTGATTGCTCATAAAATGAGGGTAGTTCTCAAAGAATGTGTCTTACATAATTATTTTGAAAAGGGCTATCCTAAAAAAAGAAGCTGCCATTTATTCTCAAACTTAATTATATAGTTATTGTAATGAATCATGAAGATGAAAGAGAAATGAAGTCTGGGCCACCAGAGTTGTCAGAATAAAAATTCTATGGTAAATTTATGAAAATTAAAAGTTTCTGATTTTCAGCCAATAGATTTTAATTGTTAACACTGATCTTTTGTGGTATTCATGAAATGGCCACCAATTGAAGAAATTAGTATTTGAAAAAATCAATATGAAATGCAGGCTATGTTTCTAAAATGCTGGTTTCTTCATTTCTAAAAAGTTTTCAGTTTAAAAACTGTATGTAAGTAGTTATATACATCATCTTTGCGTTGACATAGATATTGTTTTTCCATGGGATTATTTATATCTTTTAAAGAATAGTGTACCTATTTAGCAATATTTTTTCCAAGCAAATAATTTCCTGAATGGCAATCCCTGCAGTTTAAATGATAGCATGTAGTGGACTTTATTCACTCAAATGAACTTGAAAACACTTTCCTGAAGCTGCTTCATTATTTGACCTCAAATACAATATGTAACTATGATTGCTGCTCTATTAATAATTAATTACACAGGCATAAGAGAAAAAGAGATGTAGTTTCCCAAAAGAGTAAAAGTGCTGATCAATGCCGGAAGCATTCAAACTAATAAAAACACATTTAAGCTACATTCAAATAGAAATGGAAAGAAAAGAAATATAAGCTTTGAAAGAATCAAAGAGGAGATAATAAAAGCTTCTTGAGGTTTTTTTTTTACAATCAGTAATAATTTATGTTCAACCCTGGAATGCATATGTATATATAAAAATTTGCGAATTGTATATGGTGTGCACCTTGTAATTTAATAAGAAAAACATCATAAATGTCCCTTGCACTAATTTATGGATACAACAGCTTGCACTTCATATTTCCTTTTACCGTCAACCTGTGACATATTTCCAATATGTCTGTCTTTTCTTTCCCCGCATCCTTATCAACAAGTGAATGGTTTGGGACTTGCTCTGATGGTGGAATACACATGAAGCTTGTGAAGAAAAATAGCCTTTTATGGCACTCTGCAGAAAGCATTTCAAAATAATTCTTCTGAAGGGTTTGGTTTTATTGAAACAACTTCCCTATTATTCCTTTCAAGTCATGATCTCTTTCCCCCCACAAATTCCTGGGTCATTGGTTGCTTCCAGACAGAGGGCTCCTAGTGCTACCAATCAAGCTACATTGTGCAGCTATTCTATTTCCCCCCCTCCTTAATAGATTTTCTTCTATACTAAGAAAAATGGAAGCATTGGGGGAAAAAAAACAACAGATTTCAAATGGTAGATTGTCATCTGAATCATTTGTAAAATCTGTGAATGAAGCAGAATAATTGTACAATTAAGAGCATTATTTCATTTTGGTATAGGTTGGCATGTCAAATTGCCACTATTATTGCACCATGTTCAGATATTTGAGATCAGCAGCAAGCAATGTGCTTCTGTACATTGAACAGCTACATTGCCTGTCCCTAAGAAGTACTAATGTTTTAATATTTTTAATACTCATAACTTTAAGACCCATAATTTTGTTTAAAAAATGATTAAAGAAATGCTGTAAAGTAAAGCGATCAACTGCACCTGCAAGGAGATGAAATAAAGTCTTTTTAAAAAATAGAGATTTTAGGCAGATGGAAATGCCAGTAACAAAAATAATGGAAAGATGTGAGAAAAGATTCCATTGGAACTGATTGTCGGGTATTTTGAGGACAATTTGCATTTGGATGGGCTTAGGCAATGGCATTTGGCTTGTTAGAAATGTAAAATGTATAACAAACAAAGACTGCAAGTATGGCAGGATTGTGAAAGAGTAATTTTGTTTATTTATTCAAAACCTGCAATTTTATCTCTGAATTTGCTTTCTAATGAAGCAGAAAACTATAGTTTCAAAGGAATAGTCATTGTTATACATTCTTCCCGCATAACAGAAATTGTAGAAATTGTATGTGTATTTTGTACTTGTATTCATACCTGAACATTCAATTAGTCAAATACAGCTGTTCTGTAATTCTCTCCCACTTATCAGGTAACTTCTAGCTTATTGGAAATTTACTGTAAACCTGCAAACAGGATTTAGATCACAGTAAATCTATATTCAAAAATGACTTTCTTTTCTTCACCATGCTGGATTGCTAGATCTGCTGAGAGTTGGGAGGCTTTCCAGATATGATTTTGAGTGGATGTAATGATTTCAGGAGGAGAATTGTACTGTTCTGTTTGGCCAGCATAAACACCTTTTAGATATAATTGCAAATGTTTAGGGTTCCTAAATAGCCAGAAATTTATTGGCTTAGTCAAGATTTTGCCCTCCTAGCTATTGATTAGAATTGGTGATTGCAGAGCTGGAAGGTATAACATTCAATCCACTTTGCCATTAACATTAATATAAGCACTGGCAACATCTGTGACTAAAGACTACTTTCTGTTGTAACACGGATATATGGATATGTAATAGAATGTAAGGATGGATGACCTTGGGGGACAAGGGAAAGAAAAAGACCTGTTCTGACCCAAACCCTTTTCCAATAAAACAAACACGAACCAAAGGGAACAGAAACCTTTTAATGATTCTTACGACTCCCTGGTTGAAAGGCTGCTGCAAACTAATTAACTTTGATAAGCACAAGCCTCACCAAAACTGTGCGAGGCTGCCAAGAATAACAGAAAAGGTTACCTAGAGATATTTTACAACACAAGAGTCTTCAAAAACCAACTTAAGATACTGCAATGTCCATGAGGTTTGAGTTTCAAAACGACTTTGCTTCATACAAAGAACCTCCGCTTCACAGCTGGCTTTTATCTTCTTGAAGGAGGGGCCATTATCTTGCAGCCTTACTCCCGAGTTGCCCGTGCTGCTGCAGCTGCTCTTTCCTGCGAGCAGCCCTGCACGCACACGTACTTGGCACAGGCTCCTCGGAACCTCCTCATCGCTGCTGCCAGCCCCCATAATCTCTGAAGGCAGCAGTCTACTCCCTAATGGTCCTGGCCCCTCATCTGAGTCCTCGCTCTACTCAGCTGTTCACACCTGCTGCCGGCTAACCACAACAAGACCAGGAAACAATTGGACAAGAGAGGCAAGGCAGGCTTAACAGCCAGAGAAAGAAACTTAGGATGGATCTCTCCTCCCAACTGATGGTTAAAAGTGGCGGTAGGAAGTCTGTCCCTTTAGATTAGTAAGGATTCTGTTAATATAGATTTACAATACAGTAGATTTAGCTCATCTAGTTGTGTTTCCCATCTGCTTTATCCGGGAGGGCAAATAGGATGCATGTGGTGTAGAAGTTTTGTATTATGAATGCAAATGCATCCAGATTATTAAAAGTTCCTCCCTTTAATAAACCCTGAAAATGAAAGGAAGCATTTGTAAAAAAATGTATACTTTTATGACAATGCTGAATTGTAATGCAATTTCATAAGCATCATAAAACAACCTTCTTCCTGCCCAGTTTTCCAATATCCCAGCTTGCTACATAGGACATGACTTCAACTTGCTTGTTACCTCAATTCTAACCATATAGAAATGTTCTAGACTACTTACCTCTCCAATAATCTTTTTCTCCTGCTTCCCCCACTATAGCCTTTTCTCCAACATTACAACTCAACAAATCATGGAGAATATATTCAGCAGAAATATTACATGCTTCAAATTCTATGAAATCCCCTATTTCCCATTCCTTGAATAGTTCATATTTATAATGAGAGAAAAGAAGGATCAGAGGCCAGAATATCTGCATGGTTTCTCAATTTCTCAGTTAAGTTTTAAATATGAATTTATGAATACACTGTACAGAAAATTGGCAGTAATTACTGCTATGTTTCAAATAAGCCATATGCAATTATTGCTTCTGAAGCACATGAGAAGTTACCAATCGAAGGCAACAGAGTAATTGAAGAATGTTGCACACTTATACAATTTACATTCAGAGGAATGTCTGCAGTATCATACAAACCTTTTATAGCAAATTAATAGACTCTTTTAAAATGACCTAAATATATAATATGGAAAACAGAACTTGGAACTTCTTATCATATAAAATTTCTTTTGTGTTTTATAAAAAAAATGTTGAATTTCAACAAGATATCACTATTTGAATATGAAAGTCACTCACAGGTGGACACATCTTAAAATTGTGTAAATTTTGTTGAAGGGTTGCAATCAATTGATTTTTTTTTACTCAGAATTGTTTTGGAGAGTGATAGGTGGCAAATTAATTTAATAAATAATTTGCCCTTTCTTGTCTCTCATTAAGTGCCAGAATCCAGCTGAAAATAGATAATCCCCCAAAACTAGGCAGGGGCTGAACTAAATTAATATTTGGATGATAGACTACTAGAAAAATCCATGATGTAACAATCAGCACTTCCGTGAGACCCAGTCAGGAAACAGAAATGCTGAAAATTTCCTGGTAGCCTAAGGCTTGAAAATCTGACTATGTTTTCTCTTCTCTGTCTCTTATATCACAGGGAGTTAAGATGGAATCAGTTTGAGTTTCTTTTTAATGCTTTGTTTATTTCACAGACTTAATGTTTTTATAACTACTTTTTCTTGGGGAGGGGATGTGGCTTGTTGGCTCAGTAGTTAAAGATGCTGAACTTGTCGGCTGGAAAGCTGACAGCCTGTGTTTGAGACCTGAGCACCGCTCAATGTGGTGAACTCCTATTTCTTGCCCCAGCTTCTACCCATCTAGCACTTCAAAAGCATGCAAATGTGAGTAGATAAATAGGTGCCACTTTGGTGGGAAGGTAAAGTGTTCTATGTGCCTTTGGCATATGGCCACCATGTTGGCCACATGACCATGGAAATGGCTTCAGACAATGCTGGTTCCCTCGGCCAAGAAATGGAGATGAACCTAGAGACATGACTGGACAGGGAAACTTTTACCTTTATCTTTCTCCATGGTCATCTCTATGGCTGCCCATAATAGTTAAGACTACATTTAAGTATTAATTTCAAATATTTTAGTGGATGTTGAAAACAGTTACAAAACAGGTTTTAATAATGAATGCTAGAATTAGTATTCATTTGTCCTAAGATCCTATAAAAGCACAATAAATACATTCTATTTTATCATTATCTTCAGATTTACTATAACATAATACCAGAAAATTAAATTACATATTTTTTTCAGATAATGAGATTTGAAGTATGGGCAATATGTTGGTAGAAAAGTAATGCAGCACCAAAAGATCATGTAAAATCTTTTAATTAAGGATTACTTTATTTGTCTTAATATTTATTTCTTTTAGTTTAATCAATAAATTAATTCCTAATAGATTGCTTTAATCTATACAATTTTTCTTTGGGATAAAAACATTGAATATGAATATTTATATACAGTAAATATATCTGCAATATAAAATTTTAAAATGTTTGTGCTTTTATTGATTATTTGTTTTCCTTTTCCAGTTTTTTGTTGATCTTAATTTAAAAAATATTATCAAAGGTTTCTTTTAAAGTTACTGTGTGTTTCATTATTTTTAAAACAATACTATCTCTGAGATGTATAAGCCCTTCTAAAAAAATATCCTATGGATGACTCTTTCAAATTGAAAATGATTTCTTAACATTATTTTATAATTCTTGATTACCCATACTAATGTTTATATTCTAAAACATTAGCACGCAGTTTAGCATATTTGAAGAAACATGTATGAAGGAATAATGTTGGATCTGCTTTGATACCTCCAATTGCTAACATCTGCATAATCCACATGATATATTCCTATTTTAGCTTTATCTGTTACAGTGCAAGAAAATCATCAATGTCAATATAACCTTAGTATAGCATTATTAATTGGAAACTGGATTTGTTCTTTTGCAGATGACCACCTGGTAGGTGGTTATTGTTTTAATTTCCAACCAGCTATTTCTGCTTGGAGATGAGTGGGTATTTTAGGAATAATTCAATTTCCTTGCTGTCCATAACCTATAGGTTAATAAAGATGACAAGCTTGCTGTGGTGAAATTAATTTCAAAGGTAAAAGTGTCTGAACAGTTAACAAGGTTTTATCTGAGAGGTTACTTCCCATCAAATCAAAAGTTGAATAGATTTGAATACTTTGTTCTGAATTCATTCTTAGCTTCAGGTCTGGTATTCACACCTTTAGCTACCTATAATTGATAGTTTTGCAACTGTTTGATTTCCTTTCCATAAATGGTCATTTTGTATGATGTTTCCATTTTCAGGTCTCCTTTAAATCCTGTTCTGAGTTTGACCTTTGACAAAATAACAGCAACAAAAAAGAATGGCATCACAATTATTTATAAAACGCTTTTGGATCCCTGTGTTGATTTGCTGCCTAGATACGACAGGTACAATCGTTTCTGTTTATTTGAGTGTTCTCAATTGATAGACGAAAAATCAGAGAAGGAAAACCGGGGATGAGATTTAACTGTTAGGATAATTTTTGCTTTTGCTATCACAAGGAAATGACCAGAGTTTGCTATAAATCATTAAAAAAATATTGTCTTCAGAGAATTTGAAGAATAACTCAAAAAACTTCCAGCTTCCATTAGAATATAGGTAGATTAAATATGAGGACTTTTTCTCTTTCAATGTTGTGGTAAAATTAAATAATAAATTATGTTTTATAAACTCAGAACTGAAATCCTATTACTGTTCACTTGGTAGTCAGGTCCTTTGATGTTAGCAGAGTGAAATGCAATGATAGTTCTCAGTCACAGAATGGAAGAAGCTGATTTTTATTTCTATTTATTTCCTGATTAGATAGAGACTGCAGAAGACAAACACACACACACACACACACACACACACAGAGAGAGAGAGAGAGAGAGAGAGAGAGAGAGAGAGATACACATACATTTGTAATGCCTTTGGCAAAGAACTCAGTATGAAATGGGAGCCACCTTGTCCTTTTTTGTTATTAACATGTGTCCTTCAACATGTGATGCATGAAGAATGGAAAATAACTGAAAGAATCCATTGACACTTGGAATAACCTGAAAACACAAATGAGAGGAGCAACCACGACATATAGGAATCAGGAATCAATCATGGGATTAGACTTGCATAGGATTATACAGTTTTAATTGTAGCCCTCTAAAGAATAGTTACACCCAAAACACACTTGTATAATAGCAGGAATGTGGTTGGAAACTGCACTTATCACTGGGTGATAATATATAATGGATATTAAAAGTATATCACTGTGCAAACAGTAGAATGATACATATCACTTAAGGTTACTATCGGTCAATACTCGTACAATATCAGAATAGACAGTAGTGTTTATAGATATAAAAGTATGTTTCCCCCCATCATTTATGAGAACTAAAATGTAGGATATATTTAGATTACTAGGAGGGAACACTTTTCTGCATAGCAATCATAAACTATTAATAAGAGATAGCATGTAGCACATAGAGTTTTGGGTGCCTTGAAGTATACCCCAGTAAAACTACATGAGAACTTTGAATTCCAGGTGCAGTTCAGGGTTCTGATTATCACCTTTAAAGCCTTACATGGCATAGGGGCAGGTTATTTGTAGGCGGCTTTCTCTCTGAGGGTATCTGTCTATGCTACTAAGTTAGGGTGAGCATGCTCCAGGTCCCCTCCCTTAAGTGTTGCCACCTGATGGAACCTTGGAGATCCCTGATAAGGTCTCTGGGACTGCTCCAACCCTTTGAAATATCCTCCTACCTGAGGCCCAAGGAATCCCTATACTTTTTTCTTTCCAGAGAGCTATGAAGACCTGGCTCTTCCCCCAAGCAGTGGGAAAGAGAGGGATTGAGCTGGGAGTTGTTTGATCTCATGCCTGGGGAAAAGAGTATCGATAGTTATGAGCTACCTGGAATCATTGCACGAGATAGGTGGCCACATAAGTCCTATAAATTAACATTCAAAATTTACCCGATTCCTCTGTGCCACAGCTGAATTTTTCAATTTTTGTTATCCCTCTTTTAAAAAATATTCTAGTTCCTTATTGTTTTTATTTTTAAATAAAGAGGAATTGAAGAAACAAAGAGTACATCCCTTTGCTGGGAGGGAAGAGGAAAAAAACAACAGCTCCAGTATAGACTTGGACTTCTGCTACTAGAACAATCATACTAATAAAAAACTTGTGATGATATATTAATGTATTTATCAAAAAAAGTTACTTCTGGTTTCTTGTTTTTAGTTGGGAAGCTTGTGATGGATTTCCAGAGAACTTTCAATTCATTAAGGCTCCAGAACATCAGGTCTTGGAGACTGTGGAACCAGACAATCTTTTTTTCCAAAATAAGGTAAATAATGATAATAATTATATGCCATCCTATATTCTTGGGAAGAACTCAAAGCATCTGAAGGCCAACCTCCTACTAAAAAACTGGCAGTTGGGATTTCACATTGTGGTGTATATTATAATAGCAATGATTATTTCACATATAAATTAAATTTTTCAGGCCTCCAAGAGTTGTTTTCAATTATACCTGTTTAGGATTAGCTTCTCCATGTTGAGGATGAGATTTTGAATTCAGAAAAGCTTGGTAGGGGCATCTTATCAATGAAGTTAGGAAACATCAACATTCAGAGTAAATAGTTACCTGTCGACAACAGAAATAAGTCAGCCTCTATCAGTCCCATGCTGGCCAGAGATTGTGGAAATTGTGGTAATTGTAACCCAGCACTTCAGAAGAAGAGATACATCCACTCAGATGTCAAAAAACTAAACAAAACTAAATAAATAAAATAAAGATAAAAATAGAGATATTTTAAATGTTGGACCGGTCCAGCCTTGTTCCATTAAATATTAAGCCCTGAACCCTAACAGCAGGGTAAACAAGCTATAAGACATATGAAGCTTCTCAAATGCCCAAGGTGACAGTACTGAAATTTGATGGCATGATAAATGAACTTCAGCATTATTTTTTCTTGCACAAAATTGATTCCCCAGATGATGAATTCAGTCTATTTTGGAAGAAAATGGAAAAGATTTTGAAGTTGGAATGGGAGACATTTGCTGCCCAGAATTTTTCCATTCCTAATCTTACCCTTTTGATTTTATTGAAATAGTTTGATTACACCCAGAGTAACTGAGAGTTGGGTGACATACAAATTTAATAAATTACAACATTATTATTAATATTAGTGTTTAGCCCTTCCTGGCTAAAAGATATGATTCTCTTCTAGTGATATTACATTGCTTGATTGACTCTTGCAGCTCTTGGTTGAATGGTTGCCCCCAGTCTCTTCAGTGTTTGTCCATTATTACATTAAACTTTGACCATAACTGTCCATGATTCTGGACTCTTGATGAAGAATTACATTTGTTAAAGTGATCAGCTATCTATCATTGAGCTTATAACTTATTTTTCCATCATCTCCAGTTATTGTATGATGCAGAGAACATGTTTGGCACATAACTGTCCTAGAGATTGCTAGCTTTTGTACCAGAGAGTAAGTAGTAGTGCTATTCCTCTGGAATACTTTTCAACTCGTACTTAAGCTGGCACCAACTTTGATTGCCTTCTGGAGGCAGTGGAAAACAGCTTTTTGAAAAGAGTTTGAGTCTCAATGCATGGTTTGGAAAGATTCTGTGACTCTAAAATATTTTAGAGTCTTTATTAAAATATTTTAACTTGTCTATAAATGTTTTAATGATTGTATTTGTCTAAAACCACTGACTATACTTCAGGATTATCGCAGGGTATAAATATAATAAATAAATAATATTCCAGTGCATCTATTAATGTACCTGGCCCATCTCCCTTTTAGCCAATCTTTAACTTATTGCTGGTAGAATGATAAGACATTTTCTTCACCTACTTTAATATGGAAAACTTTCCAACAGGAAAAGGGGACTTGAGTATACAAAGAACTAATTAAACTGATGGCTTAAGAGACACAGTGACTTCGTTTGAAATAGCAGCCTCAGAATAAATTAAAACTATTGATCCCGAGTTACTTTACTTGTTGACAAAATGGAGTATAAGATTTTCTTCAATTCACATTCCAACTATTCTCAAGGAACCAAAACTATTTAGAACAGATTTGGTTCAGAGGAATGCAGTAAAAGGAGAAATGGGGAAATTTATTTCCTTTTCATATAATCATTGCTGTTTATTATCACTATGAATTGATCATGTGTTTTGAAATTTAGCATATTTACACTCCTAATTATAGTGAACAGAAAGAAATAATTGCTACTAATAATTTTTGATGAAGAGAAAAAAATTGAAAAAAAGCAACAATATGAATTTTTCTTACTCTAATTAAACTTAAAAATGAAAATATGCATAATAGTTGTGACATCAGCACATTTATATGTAAGCACTTTTCTGAGAACTAATTTCATAATTCAAGGGCAACTTTATAAAAATTAATTTCAAGGAGAAGGTCAGATGTTGATAGTTTTCTTTAATACTTTTGAAAGTTAAAGCTCACTGGGATGTACACAACACTAAAAGGATTATACGTTAAAGAGGCAAAAGTCTCGTGTTCTGGATACTTACACATTATGATTGTCATTGGGCCTAGATAGTAATTCTCAACTGTCTGACTGTTCCTTTTCATTCTTTATTGACAGTCAAACCCTTTCCAACAGTGTAAAATGTGATACATAATCCATGTTCATAAATCTGAGGATAGAGGTAACCCAGGCAATTATAGCCTGTTGCTTTTTTATCTCTGTTGAGAAAGTCTGACAACGTATCAATGATTTGAGATAGATTATAGTACAAGCATTTTGTCTGATAAGTACAGCCCTTGAAAATAATATCCTTACAGGTGTTTGATATTTTTCCCAGACAGTTACTTATTAAATTTAAATTTTAAAATTTATTTATCCCACCCTTATTATTTTTATAATGAGTCAAGGCACTGAACATATCCAGTACTCTTTCCTCCCATTTTCATAATCACAACCCTGTGAGATGAGTTGGGTTAAGAGTGACTGCCCCAAATTTTAAATCACAAACTAGTAAGCCAGTGTATATAATATGATAAATTTTTGTTTTGTAGCACAGTGTTTGTATTAATAGATTCTTTAACATTAAAGTTTTATTTCCTTACTCTTAGTTTTTCTAAAAAATTGTATATGAAGTATTAAGTGGGGATCAGAGACATCTTTTAAAATGCGGATTGTGTTGCAGTATGTCAATTAATTCATTTTTTTAAAAAAAAGAAGATAGATTAAATAAATAAAGCCTTATACACCCTGTGGCTTTAAGGGAGGGCTGATGGGCATCTTGGTAGCTGTAGTCACTAAATTATCTATTCTAGGATAGGATTAGACTATATTTTCCCAAAGCTATGGCTCATAGAATTTCCTGTAGAGTAAAATAGTAATCAAAGGATGTTAATTACTGATTACTGAATCAGATGGACCATTTCACTTATGACATAACCCTTTCCTCTACTGTGCCATGATAGAATACATTTAAGCACAAGATGGAAGGACTTATGCAGCCAAAGAAGTGATACTTAATATAATTATTTATACTATCTGTTACATCCTTGTTCCACACTCCTGGGAACCATAATATCATCTGAAGCTGGGTTAGAAGGATATGGTGTTGCTTTCTTATGTGGTTTTTTCCCCCAGGTAATATCCAGCATTGTATCTCTTGAAGCACAGCATGGTATTAGTGCTGGGTACCAACCTCAAATAAATACAAAGGAACAAGATTTCCTCCCCAGTGCACCACAAAATCAAACAGGATAAGATTAAAGCCAGTGGTGTGACTAAGAGGACACGGGGACTTTCAGCAGGAGTTATGCACATCATAATACTATCCCTCACTAATTCCAACTATAACCATCTTCCACACAGTTGTGTTGCCTCTGATAGCAACATAAAATGGAAAGGGCAAATACATGTGTTGCTTTAAGCCCCTCGTCCTTTTGTTGGGGATTAGTTCCCATTGTATAAGAACTGTGGGGTTTCTTGTCTCAATATTATTGCAGCTGGCTAACAGGTAATATCAAATTGAGCATTCTTTTCCCATAGTGTGTGTCTTTGATACCTCGAATATGCCTCTGTGAAATGATTGCTAGCTCTGAAAATAAAATGTAGCTTTCATACATGACTTTCAATGCAGTCAGAAGATCTTTGAATAGTGTGTCCATTGCCGCAGTTATAAACCTGTAATGTAGCTCAACGATTTTACTATTGTAAAGTCACCTGATTTGGCTGATTTTCCAGTCATATTTAAGTAGATACAGTTAATTCTCTGCATACTTTTAGGCTTTAATCTAGGAACAATCCCATGATTTGTAGAAGAATTTACTTTTGAGTAGCCAAATATAAAAATTATTATTTTTTTAGAATTATTTTACAGAAGTATGTAGAATTTAAACTGGTAAACATTAACAATGTGACATCAAACTGTTTTCACCATACAGTATATACAGTATAAAAATGCTTTGTTTAGGTTGTTGTGGGATGATACCTCATTGTAATAAATAAATATGTTAAATCTGATCTGTTGTTACCTTTACTGCTATCAAAGAAAAAAATTAACATCAGATTCTCTTATGGTATGCAGACTGATCCCCAGATGGTTCTCCTCATGTCAGTTACCATAGAAAATATCAGGAAAGGTACTGCCAGAAGAAATCACTGTCAAAATCCAATAGACACAGAACATTGGCCTCTTTCAAATATATGGCTCATCACAAAGGTATTCCAGAATTTTTTAAAAATAGTGCTCATAATTCAAAGGTTTGTTATACATGAGTGTCTGGAGGAGTGCAACTTCTATCTAATGCATCAGAATGTCACTGTGCAAATAATATAGGTTATGTTTTGTACTATTTGTATAGTGATGTTATTGTGGCTTGCACCAAATATCTATAGCGTTTTTTTAATTGTTTCAACAATTTGGTATTTCCTTCATCTTTTATAGAGTCGCTATTCAAATATATCTCAGTACAGAGAAGTGAATCAACTAGAAATCAGATTTTAAAATCTGAAAGAATGTATATGCGACTGTACATGTGAATTTTATAAAGAATTCTATATAAATTATTAATTATTAAGATTATAAAGTTACTAATTTATAAATCAATTTATTAAAATTATTATTATTTTAATAATTATTTTAATAATTATTAAAAAAAATAATTTATATAGAATTAGAACAGTGGTGGCTAACCTTGGGCTCCTGTGATGAAAAATTTAGTGTGCCATCACCCAGAAGGCAATGTGTGCGCCCCCCCCATGCCCCCTGCACATGTGCACATGATACCCCCTGCCACCCCCTGACCTGCACTGCGCATGCACAATGCTTCCCAGCTGATTTTTGGCCCGTTTGAGGCCTTTTTTGGCCTCCCAGAGGCTCAAGCAGCCTTTGGAGATATTTTCTGAAATACCGGAAATGACAAAACAGGCCCATTTTTCAGCCTCCAAGGGCTGCAGAGGCTTCCCTCAAGCCTCTGGGAGGCTGAAAAAGGCCTCAAACAGGCCGAAAATCATCTGGGAGACACACGCGTGCGCAGTGCAGGTAAATTTGGCTGGGGCTCGTGTACCCGCACAAATGGCTGTGTGTGCCACCTGTGGCATGCATGCCATAGGTTCGCCATCACAGAATTAGAAGAATTAAAACTAGTGATTTATAGAAATGTTAATATATGACATTAAATGATTTATGGTAATTCCTTGATTTAATATTCCTTGATTTAATATTTTAATAAAATAAATACTATTTTAATAAATACTATTTTAATAAATAGTTAAAAGGTAGTAGATTTTGATTGAACTCAAACTCATCACTAAATCCAAGCTAATCTTGTCTTTGCAATATCCTGCATAAGGATGCAGTTGTCATTGATTGTGGATTGGTTCCACTGACCTACTACTCACCTACTATTATAGACAGAATTTTAACAGAAATCTTAATTATAGTAATATAAAAATGGTTCCTTACAGAATACATCAGGTTAATGTAATGGTAAGATGAGTAATTGCTGGGTAAAATGATGAAATTGAATACCAGCATCATATGATATCATTGCAAAGTACTTAAGCATAATCCTGTGTATCATAGGAGAGAGAATGTACACCATAACAGAAAATTGAGCTATTAACAGGAGAAGATGTGACAGAAATGACAGCTTTTCTATATAAAGGGCAACACCTAAAATTCAGATAATCCACCTATATAATTTTAATAGCCCACTTGTTACACAAATGTTATAACCTGTGCTATATGCCAAAGTAGTTATTTTTACCTCAGGGCAAATCCTAATCATATTGGTGGAAGTTGCTGCCAAATCTAGAGTTTAGGGTTGCAGCCTTAATTCCTAAAAGGGAAAAAAAACCTCAATAAAATGATTGCACAGTTGTCTTACTGCAGAACTACTGCTGTTATTTATTTAAACAGATGTGGTTATGGATGTTTAACCAACATTCTTTTAGACTTGAGGTAAAACTTTAAATTGACTCAATGACTATAGATGTGTTGCAGTCTTTGCAGTTCACTGAACTTTTTTCCCTGTGCATACATATTTCAAGTAAACGCAGTAGTTATAAGTATGGCAAGTGACACGTTATGGACCCTAAATCACTGCACTGTGAAATATGCAGAGGGAAGAGACAAATGAAGATATCAAGGGTCTCTTCTATTTTGCACTGAACTGTAAAATGCCACCCTTGTCGTACAGAGGATCACTGATTCTGAGCAAGGCTCATTGACTGCTAAGTTGTGGATAGTGTTTCAGTTTTTCCAACTGTTAATATCCCGAGTTATCCAGGCATAATGATCTCTCTATTTGTAACACATTGTTGAATTTTCTGGTTCTTTTCACTTATTTATACCCCCTTTCCCCCATTCATTGAAAGGCTGGGAAGATTGTAAATCGAGCTATGGCACAAGGCAGTCTGTCTGTTGGTCATCCAATCAGAGCTATGATGCAGGATGGCAAACCTCTTGAGGGCTATAAGTTAACCCTGCAGAAAAGGTACTGATACAATATATTCTAAAGGTACAATTATTGAGATGAAATGAAATGTTATAAGATGATCTGCTTTCAGATGTTACAATTTAGTGGAAAATATATGCGATCTAAATTATATTTAAATAGCCTCTAAATTATATACCCTTATTAGATGTTAATTTCTTTAAACATTTTAACCATCTTTGAAAGTTCTTCCTGAAATAATTGGGAAATAGTTATAGATTTGCTTCCTTTCTGCACAAAACAGAATAAGAACTCAACATCTTAACAATGAATCTGAAATATGCATGGTATGGAACTAGGTATCTTAGTGAATAATCTAGAGTTCAGTCATAGATCATTTATATGCTTTTGTTTCATTTACACCTCAATTTCCTCCGGGGGGGGGGGTTCAAGAGGGAGTAATAGTTTCTTTCTATTTTCACAATAAATTTGTATGATCAAGGTTAATGACTTGTTTAGTACCATCCAGGCAGCTTTATAATGTCTTGCCTTCTTATTTAGAATATAGTTCACTAATTGGAACACTACAACCAAGTCTGATATATTTTCTAAATAAAGTAAATTTAGGGCATATGATGTGAATTGTGCTATAAATAGAGTATCTTTGTGTTTAGAGATTTCTTAACTTTAGAAGCATTTTTTTTTTCAGAGACAAAAACAATATATGTCAGTACTGGGAATTTGAAAATGATGGTTCTATCCATTCTAAGGTGTGTATATATATTTAAATACCATATTAATATAAGCTACTTATTATTGCCTGGAATCCATTAATGTATCGATATATGGCATTGTTGAAAGTTTGTTTCATGAATAATAATTGAAATATTATATTTACTTTCGCAGTATTATGTTGGCTTCTAAGAATATCATAAAAGCATTTTATTAAAATATTCCTCATAATCTTTAAAGCTTGAAATTTTCACTTTATTGATAATGTTTGCAGTGATGGATTTTATTATGTTATTTTAATCTGCTTAAGGTATCTATTTAATTTTCAAAATCTGATTTTATTTAAAATTATGCAATTTGATATTTATTATTATTTTTATTCCTAATCAAATTATTTATAATTTTGTAAGCTTATGTAAGATACAAGAAAAAAAAGGAGGAATAGAAATCATGTGCAATATCCCCATTTCTTAACTCCAGCTGAAATCAGTTCTGGAGATTGCCTGAACCCTAAAGTGTCTGTGTCTGTGTGAGTACCTTAATGTATGTATTTATGTCAGGCATAGACCAAAGTATGGTACACAGTGCAACACAATGTATGAATAAAACATGTAATACTAAAATTATAGCTAATGGTTTTTGATCATGAAAGTGATCTATCAAATCCTATTTATACCCAGACTTTCCTTATAGTTACAAAATTTTGCAACTAACAGAAACAGCGATCTGGTTAACAAGGGGAGGGAATATTATTTCAGAGCACCATCTATGGTATAATGGAAAACTCAACAAAACATGCACTGCAGATTTGATTATACTCTCTGTGCAAGGACAAATGCAATCTTGAAAGGAGATCTCAACATGATCCACCCTTCAGAACTATTGACAGAGAAAGAATTATGGTTGGCAAATTTATTTGCTGTTCTGAAAGAGAAGAGAGGATATTATATGTGTAACTATGAATAGGACAAGTTCCATTCCAAAAAATTACTCTTATAGTGGACAGAAACTCTGTATAAGTATTGTGTTTGTGTGCTGGAAGCCAAAATGTAAAAAAAAAGAAGGCATCCCCCATAACATAAATAATTTCTGATTATAACTAATTGTCTTAACATAAAATGCTTTATGTAAAAAAATGATTGATTTTTGATCTACATATTCCAACCACTCTCTGCTAGACACATAACACTCAACACAAAGACACACCTAAGTACATATGCACAAATATCCATCTCCTTTTTCCTAATAGACAAAAAAAAGGGAAATATCAGGTTGGAGAGGTGGTGAGGAGAATGAATTATTTCACTGGAAAGAGAAAAGCAGGAACAAAATTGGGTGGAGTTGTGGCAAGGGGAAGAAAAAAAAGGGAACTTTGGTGTTATAAAAAAGTTGACCTTTACTGGACAAGCAGCCTTTTTTAAATCATAGGCTAATCTTGGATCCATGTTTTTCGGTGACAGTGTTGCAAATAAATGGCTCGCATATAAAGATTCTACAGGAGAAATTAAAACAGGCAAGATGGTGCTTATAACATCATGATCAAATATATCTATGTGAGGGGGCGGTCAGAGTTTGATCATGATGCTATAAGCACCATCTTGCCTGTTTTAACTTCTCTTGCACAACCTTTTAATCTAGGCATTTATTTGCTTTCATTTGCTTATCTATTCTTGTTAGTGAAGATGATTTCCCTAATTCACAGGAATTCCTAGTCAGTGATTATAAACCTACACTCTCTATTATAAACCATCCTGTATCTCAAAACTTTCCTGTGTATTGTATAACCTACACAAGAGATTTGGGTGACCCAAGGGGCTATTGTGGGATCATGCAATTGAAAACCTCTGAGCAGACTTTAGCACTTGGAAAGTGCTTTAATTGGTTTTATTTGTACTGAGTAATGTATCATGAAGTCATTGATTGTCCTCAGGGTTAGTGCTACTGATCTAGAGAACAGGCCCAGGAATTCTAAATTTTTAAATGTTCTAGTATTTTATTTATAGGTATTCACAGCAGGAGTAAGGGAGGCAATTGATGAAACATGCTTTGTGATACTGCTAATGCAGACCTTATCCCTTATGTACTGGCATGTGAGAGAAGTGTGAATGGGAGACTTCTAACCTGGAATGCAGAAGGGGTATAAATCTGAACGGAGACATTCTGATCTTGCCTAATGGTTTAATCAATACATGTATGGAAGTGAATGTGAAAATTTAATTATGAACAAAAGGGCTAAAATCTGTGTCAAACTGTCTGAATTCAAGTAATCCGTAGATGCATATGAAAGTAAGAATTCATAGCCTGGTGATAGTTACATGTTATGTTCCAATGAATAATAATATTGAAAGAACCTAACATGAATCTAAAAAAATTATGCATAAATAAATAAATAAATCTGTGACCAAAAAAAGAGAAGAAACCCAAATAACCAACTAAAAAACTAAATGACAACAGAAAAATCAGGAACATAAATTTAATTTAGAAGTGGTTTGTTGACAAATAGTGCTGCAATAAAATACAAAGGCAAGCAGAGTATCAGCTGCATGGGTGCACATCAGCTTTGAAAAGTAACAGGGAAGTGAAGGTCTGTTTGAAAGCTGAGTGTACCATAGGCAATTTAGAGTTCAATTGACAGTCAAACCATATAACACAAATGCAGCACAGGTTCATAAAAAGGGAACTGCAGTGACAAAAAAATACTATAGATGTGGTCCATGACAATCCAGGAGTCACTCTGTGGGTTGTTGTTGTTGTTTTGCTTTCCAAGGAATGGACAAACAACAAACCTGTAAACAATGCTTTATTTCACAATGCTTCCCCAACAATAGACTGTTACTCTCCACCCTTCTAGGACTTTTAAGGTGCTGTTGCCATGTAAATGTGCCTTTAATGCTCAGTCCTTGAATACTCACTTCAAGCAAAAGTCTGGAAAGTGGCATATAACCTTCACCTCCTTCCAAAATATCATACATTAGTTGGGTTGTGCTGTCTTAGTATGGTTCTTCTTCTTCTAGTTGCCACCAAGCTCTCAGCAAAACTCCAAGTAGGACTGGTAGGTTATATTGTTCACTGTAGCTTGTGGTCCTGGCAGTAGACTGATAGTCCTCTTGCCTGCTTGTAATAGACGCCAAATTCCAGACTTCATCTCCATTTCCCCATCTTCATGTATTTACATATTTCTTCCTATCCCTCCTCATTCTACTTCTGTAAGCTAGGAGTCTGGGTGGGATGAGAATGTCTCTGGATATGACCCCATCCTTGAAAATATCAGAGAATGGTTAATAATTTATTACTGGCAGTTGGAATGCTGGAATGGATGCTTGTGAGTAAAATAGCAAGTGGCTGAATTAATGTATGAAGGAAATGGGGTGGGAAGCATTTCTGCCTGGCTGCAGCTATTTTTCCCAATTGCAGATAGCAACTCCAACTTCATTCCCTCTCAATCACACACCAGAGAAGTTAGTCAGTCAGTGTGGATCAAAGAGCAGAGAGTCAAGGAGCAGAACAAGAAACAAAAACACAAGAACACAGCTCTGAGCTTAGTGAGCTGTTTCCAACAGAGAGCCATTGCTAGTGGCAGTTCTTAAATGATGCAGGTAAGGTTCAGCTAGGCACGGACATCTTTGATTCTCAAGAAGCTCGCCTAATTTGCCTCTGCTTGGCTCTCTGATACTTGGCCAATATGTCCAAGGTCTGGGATCCCACCCCTTGTCACTTGAATCCCGTCCTACCTGCTCCTGCTATTTGTTAAGACAGCCTGAGCTGGTTAATTGGGGTTGATAGTTCAGCCTCCTTAGTCCATAACATAAAGAAATGTATAATGTAAGTGAACAAAAGTCTGGCTATGATTCAACTTGATAGGACAAACTGCAGGTAAAACTCAAAGGAAAGAAATGATCAACAAAGGAACAAAACAAAGAAAATCATCTTTAAAGAAATAAAGTACCCAATTCAAAAGATTTTTTTCAGCATTTGCATCCTGGACAATAAGCATGGAAAAGGATAGTTTGCTGTCAAATAATACCAATAACAGTAACTATTCTGCTATGTTTATTTTATTTTATTTATTAGAATTTGTCAAACAAAAATAAAAGAATAAAAATACAATGACAGGGACAATAGGCAAGTTAATGCACTTATGCACCCCCCTCTACTAACCACTTAAGTATGATGTAAGGTCCAGGGAAGTCAATTTGTGACTGAAACTGCGAAAATTTGTAGCTGAAACAACTGAATCAGATAGAGCATTTCAGACTTTGACAATTCTATTACAGAAATCTTATTTTTTACAGTCAAGTTTAGAATGATTTACATTGAATTTAAAGCGGTTGTTAGTACACACATATTATTGCGATTAAAACAAAAAAACCCAACTCTATTACAGGCAAAACATTACTACGTATAATTCTGTTGTTAGTGCACATATTATTGCCATTAAAACAAAAAACAACTCTCACCTACAGGTAAAACATTATTACGTATAATGTTGTATGCAATACCTAGGTCTGACTGCAAGCGACGCAGTTCTAAGTTATCCAAACCGAGAATTTTGAGCCTAGTAGCATAGGGAATGTTACACAACAGGAGGAACTAAATAATTTTTATTAAAAAAAACTAGGCGTGTGTGTGTGTGTGTGTGTGTGTGTGTGATCAGCAGATGCATTAGAAGCTTTCTGTAATTCTGTTGAAATAATTGCAAAAACACTTTCCATGAGGATGATACTAATAAAGGAAGAAACAGGAAAAAAACTAAAAAAATTGTACTATATTAGAGGATTAGATACCTCACTGAGTACTGTAGTGTTTTCCTTTATCTAAAACAAACACCACATGAACTACAGTGGAGGAGTGAGGTGCATCATGGAAGTACAGCAATAATTTGGCCTCCTGTGGCAAACCATTGCAGACAGGAATGAAAAACCAAAGGAATTTAAGCTTGAGTTCACAAAATGCCAAAGAAATGGGAGAAGTCTAAGCTATAGCTGAAAGGAAAAGGAAAGACATTGTAATTCTTGCTGAAACAAAGCTAGATTTTTTAAAAATGTTTCCTGCCTCAGCAGACAGAGAAATTTTATAAGATGGTAATATTCATATATACACATGTACTAAAGGAAAGCACCTTTGCATAGGCATCACTTCACTTAAGAATATAAAAAAATAATCTTTCCTCTGAAGCTTGGAAACTCAGTTGAGTTGCAGAATAACAAAGCCTCCTTAACAAAAACTACCAAAAACAAAATAAAAATTAAACAAAACTTGATAGAAGAGCTGGGTGCCTATTGCTTTAAATAACTTAGTACTAATTCATAGTTCTGGAAACATTAATTTAGCGAATTGTTCTTTGTTAATTCTGTCACCAAGACCCAGCAATCAGTAATGTAAAAGGGAAGAGTTGAGCAAGACGTCTGTGTAATACAGGTAGTCCTTAACTTAGAACTGTCCATTTAGTGACCATTCAAGCACTGAAAAAAGGTGATTATGACCATTTTTCACACTTACAACTCTTGCAGTATCCCCATGGTCATGTAATCAAAATTCAGATACTTGTCAACTGATTCATGTTTATGAGTAATGTTTATGATGGTTGCAGTGTCCTGGGGTTGTATGATCACCACGTGTGACCTTCTGACAAGCAAAGTCAATGGGGAAGCCAGATTCACTTAACAAGGGTGGCAAGAAAGGTTGTAAAATGGGGCAAAACTCACTTAACAAATGTCTCACTTGGCCACATACGTTTGGGACTCAATTGTGGTCATAAGCTCATAGTGCTTTTTTTCTTTTTCAAACTCACATTCATATAGATAAACAGTATAAAGCCGGGGTGGGATTCAACCAGTTCACACCTATTCGCTAGAACCAGTTGTTAACATTCTAAGCAGTTCAGACAACCAGATGTTAGAAGAAATTACTGGCCTTATCCTGTAAGGAAGGCAGGAAGGAAACTTTCTGGTGTTGCTTACAGAAACTGCCTCTTCGTTAACCCTTATTACATTCTTGGCAGGACTGATCTTCCTGTTTCAGGAACATCTCTGGAATTTCCCCCCCCTCCTTTGCTGATACTTTGCTTGTGTGGAGTGACCATTCAAAGTTACAATGGCACTGAAAAAAGTGACATGACCATTTTTCACACTTAAGACTATTGCAGCATCCCCACAGTCATGAGAGGCCAGGCGAGGAGATGCGTGCCTCGATGTGAGTGATATTGAGTTGGCCACACCCAGCCAATAACATGACCACCAAGCCATGTTCATCCAGTCACATGACCACCAAGCCACGCTCACCACCTAAACCCCTCCCACAGAACTGGTTGTTAAAATTTTTGAATCCCACTCCTGTATAAAGCCATTCATCTAGAATGCTATATATGTTAACATTCAAGAAAAAAATGATGAAAATAAAGTTGAAAATGTTAACAGTGTTGATAAATTGTAAGAACATAGATAAAGAGGATAATAGGAGAAATGCTAACTGTGGACATGTTTGCATATGGAGGCTTTCTTGCTTAATATGTATATGAAGACTGCATCTACACCTGATTGAAAGATTGCCCTCATCGTTCCTTCATACAAATAAAAAAATAGAAAGAGTGACTACAAGAACTGCCAACGATGATTTAATAATAAATGAATATGGATTGAATATGAAAATGAGCAATAAATACAAAAGAATTGTGTTTAGGTGGTTTAGTTATTTACACTGAATAAATAATAGTTTCATTGCAAAGTAAATATATGAAGGAAGAATGAACAGATGAATTAAAAGGAGGTGACCAGTAAATCATGGCTCAATGAAGCTGATGCTATCCCAAAAAGAGACTGATGACATGTTTAAAGAACAATGAACAAGATATGAATTGATGCAGAGACAGTGTAAATTGTGATGGTTTGCAATGATAAAAAATAAAAACATATATAACGAAAGGTGTTTAACCATATTTCCTTTTTTCTTATATCTTTAATTTCTTTTGCTTATAAGTTCTTTAAGAAATCTGATTCAGATATTAATGAAATATGCTGTCTCATGTAGGTTTAAACAGCCAGTGTTATTTTCTTAGGAGTTTTCTTGAAGGCTGGTAAATATCAAGCAGACCTCAAAGCTCTCACCCATTAGAGTTGTTCACATCTTACGGATGACACCTGGCTTCTGTGGAGAAGCTACTTCAATACAATAGTAGCACTTGAAATGGCTTCTTCCTGGATGCTGGCAATTGAGGTATCATCTCTTGACCAATGGATTTCAGGGAATCAGCTTCACTTGTCCCTGAATTTTTCTCATCTGAAAAAATATCTTCAAGTGCCAGCTTCAAGAGAAGTGGTGGTGTTTAACCTGATGCTAAATCATATCCAATGAATGCCAACATGTGGAGAGGATCCAAACTCTCATTTTGTTTTTTTTAGAGCTAGTGGGTTACAGTCAGTTACTGGTGTCTTATACCCAGTTGAGCCAACAGCAAAGAGCCACAAAGGTACATAGGATTTATATAGAATTTTTGATGAAGGGTGATTTGAACATATGTACATATTAATAGGACACCCCTATTTTATAACTTTTTAATAAGTAAAGAAACAAGATAAATAGAAAAAAGACATGTATGTATGTATGTATTTATGTATGTATGTATGTATGTATGCTTTCTGAGGTTCTCGCGGGTATTTGTATGTGGATCTTTGGTTGTTCGGGTTTTCTCCCGCGTAAGATTCGAAGTATCTAGGCAACGTTTCGATGAAGTCTCATTCATCATCTTCAGGCTGCTGTCTTCGGCTCTGTGCTTCTCAGAGT